CCCCCCCCCAACTTTAGGTGCTCACCCGGGTACGTGGGGGACCCACCGCGGGGAGAGCCGTGCCGAGGTGAGTGCCACGGGGAGGAGGTGGTGACCCCTGTGGTGGCACTAAATGGGGGGGGTCCTGCCTAACTGCTGTGTCCCCCCCTCCCCAGAGCCGGGTGTCCCCGGGGGGCAGTGCCCGTGTGACCCACGTGGCAGCATCAGCGAGGGCTGCGGTGCCGACGGGCAGTGCCACTGCAAGGTGAGCCCCCCCCCAAATCCCCAGTGTGTCCCCGAGCCTGGAGGGGGTGACAGGGCGATGTCACCCTGTGCCGTGTCTCTCCCCCTCCCCAGTCCAACGTGGAGGGTCCCCACTGTGCCGCCTGCCGTCCCCACCACTTCCACCTGAGTGCCAGCGAGCCGGCCGGCTGCCTGCCCTGCTTCTGCATGGGCATCGTCCAGCACTGCACCAGCACCACCTACGCCCGCGGCACCGTGAGTGTGTCGTCCCCCCCCCAGTGTCCCCAAATGTCCCCTGTGATCATAGAATCATAGAATCATAGAATTTCCCAGGCTGGAAGGGACCTCCAAAGGCCATCTAGTCCGACCCCCCCGCAGTCAGCAGGGACACCCCCAACTAGACCAGGTTGCCCAGGGCCTCGTCGAGCCTCTCCTTGAATATCTCCAGGGAAGGGGCCTCAACCACCTCCCTGGGCAACCTGTCCCAGTGCTCCACCACCCTCACAGTGAAGAACCCTCTCCTCATCTCCAGTCTAAATCTGTTCCCCTCCAGCTTGAAGCCATTGCCCCTCGTCCTGTCACTGCAGCCCTTTCTAAACAGGCTCTCCCCAGCCTTCCTGTAGCCCCCCCTCAGGTACTGGAAGGCTGCTATTAGGTCTCCCCGGAGCCTCCTCTTCTCCAGGCTGAACAACCCCAGCTCCCTCAGCCTGTCCTCGGAGCAGAGGTGCTCCATCCCCCTGATCATCCTTGTGGCCCTCCTCTGGACCCTCTCCATCAGGTCCATGTCCTTCTTATATTGAGGGCTCCAGACCTGCACACAATACTCCAGGTGAGGTCTCACCAGAGCAGAGCAAAGTGGCAGAATCCCCTCTCTGGACCTGCTGGCAACGCAGCTTTTGATGCAGCCCAGGATGGGATTGGCCTTCTGGGCTGCAAGTGCCCACTGCCTGCTCATGTCCAGCTTCTCCTCCACCAGCACCCCCAAGTCCCTTTCCTCAGGGCTGCCAAACCCCATGATGTCCCCCAAACCCCCACCGACCCCTATCCCCATCCCCATCCCGTAGGTGCGGGCACCCTTCGCCCCCGGGAACCCGCAGGGGTTTGCCCTGGTGAACCGGCAGCGCAGCACCCGGGTGGGCACCGGCTTCAGGGTGGAGCCGGGCACCCCCCACCCCCGTCTGACCTACGAGCGATTCGGGGAGCTGCCCCCCGACTCCTACTACTGGCAGCTGCCACCCCCCTACCAGGGGGACAAGGTAAGGGGGTGCCCCCACCCCAGGGGACGGGGGTGCCTGGGGGAGCACCCAGCCTGTCAGCGGCTGCACCCGTGCCCCACGGGCACCCCTGGGTGCTCGCCCCGTGGCTCTGTTGGAGGGGGAGGTGGGAGCAGCCCCCCCCGACATTGCCCACCTTTTTCTCTTTTTTCCCTTTTTTCCCTTTTTTCCCTTTTTTCCCTTTTTTCCCTTTTTTCCTTTTTTCTTTTTCCTTTTTCCTTCTCCTATCCCAACCCCATCCTCTTCCCCTTCCCCATCCCCATCCCCTTCCTTCTCCCTTCCCTCTCCCTTCCCCATCCCAATCCTTATCCCATCCCCATCCTCATCCTCTTCCCTTTCCCCATCCCATCCCATCCTATCCCCATCCCATCCCATCCTATCCCCATCCCATCCCATCCTATCCCCATCCCATCCCATCCTATCCCCATCCCATCCCATCCTATCCCCATCCCATCCCATCCTATCCCCATCCCATCCCATCCTATCCCCATCCCATCCCATCCTATCCCCATCCCATCCCATCCTATCCCCATCCCATCCCATCCCCATCCTAATCCCGTCCCCATTCCATATCTATCCCACCCCCATCCTATTCCCCTTCCCATCCCCATCCCATCCTCTTCCCACCCCATCCCTATCCCATCCGGGTCCCCATCCTCTTCTTCCCTTTCTCTGTCCACATCCCATCCTCTGCATCCCATCCCCATCCTAATCCCGTCCCCATTCCATATCTATCCCACCCCCATCCTATTCCCCTTCCCATCCCCATCCCATCCTCTTCCCACCCCATCCCTATCCCATCCGGGTCCCCATCCTCTTCTTCCCTTTCTCTGTCCACATCCCATCCCCATCCCGTTCTCCAT